CGAATTTAAAGAGAAACTTAAAGTCTATGAAATAATAAAAAGTGATTCTGCAAAGAGTAAAAGTGCTTTCGATAAAATCAAAACAAAACATGACTTTGATAGTAAATATAATTCTTATGATAGAACAAAAGCAAAATATGATGATAGGTATAATGTAAGAAAAGATGTTTCAAATAGGAATAAAAATAAATATGAAAATAATAATGAAAAGATAAGGTATAATACTGATGTTGAAACTTTTAATAATAAATTGTGTTACAATTGTGGTTCAAGAAATCATATTTCAAAATATTGCATACATAAAGATAAGGGTTTAAAGTGTTTTAAATGTGAAGCGTTTGGACACAAAGCTTCGCAATGTCCAAAATCAAATGCAAAAACGGAAGCTGCTACTCTAAATGTTAGCGTAGAGCCAAAGTTGTTTAAAATGGTAACGGTTGATAACTTAACTGTGAAGTCTTTGATTGATACAGGAAGTCAAGCCACTTTAATCAAAAGATCAATTTTTAATAATTTAAACTCCAAAGAACTATTTCCATTTAATTTTACTCTAAACGGATTTGGTAAATCAAAAGTGACAATGAAGTAAATTATTGAAATAACTTTTGAGTGATAAATGATTTATAACTAAAACTCTGAAAATGCTGTATGTTAGAAATGTCTATGCTATGAGGCAAAAATAGATGAATTGTCCACCAATCAATTATTGGTGTTTTTAAAGTTGCTAATGGCAACAATGTATTCTTCCTTTAGTTCAATGAAGATCTATTGATCATTTAAAAGGGGGTCTATAGTCTGATTTAAATTTTATGAAACTACTGACTTTTAGTATAGATTAAAGTAATAATTTGATTGCTTCGGGCAATCATTTAATTAATTGAAGCAATGTTTAAAAACAGGTAAGGTGAGAAACGTTCAAGTATTGGGTTGTTCAGAAAGTAATTTTTTAATTAGTAACATTAAGAAATTTTACAGCTGAATCATTGGTTAATGAATGAAGGGGTTGCAAATTAACATTTTACTAGTTAAAGTTGGTTGCTTTGATTTTGTATATAAAAATTAGTACAGTTAAAAAAAAAATCTTGATTTTCAGAATTTATAAATAAATGTAGATTATTAAAATGATGTACCCATATAATTTGAATGTTTCAACTATCTGACAGCTAACTGTACAGCTATCTGCAATAAAGAAATATATCAAACATTTGCTAAAGGGTTCTTTTGAACCAATGACTTTGAAATTGTAACCGCTACCTATCAGTTTTGTTTCATTGAAACAAAATTATTTTTTCATCATATTACTGCCAGCAAGTATGCCTCTTTTTTTTTAAAAAAAATTATTCTTTTTTACTTACGATTTATGACACTTAGTGTAAACTTCCAACAAAAACAATTCAATTTTAAACACTACTCCAGGTTCTAAAATGTCTATAAATACTTTTTTAATTAAACATTTAAAAGTTACATTGACTGAACTAGGTAAAAATAAATAAATAAATAAAATGCTTGGTACAAATTGAAACAATGAAACTTTCAGATTTTTCAGCATATCTAATTAATAAGCGCATGCTTCATCATTTTCTTTTAGAAAATTAAAATGAGTAAATATTTTTTGAGGGAAGAAGGCTAATGAGATAAAATCACAAAAGATGGAGTCAAAAAAAAAAACCCGCACCTTTAGCAAATGTCTTCTAAACTGTCTAAAAAATTTTATAGACTCAATTCAGAAAATAAATAGCCTGGCAAAATACAACATAACCAGATTAAAATTGTACATATTGACCACAGATTAACTTAATTTTATAACAGTTTTAATTTGTGAAAAGGTAACGTTGAAGTAAAGATAAAAGAGAAGCATTTTTTTAAACTACAGAAAATGTTACATAATTTAGTTTTACACTATTTTTTATGCCTTATACTTTATTTTATTCAGTTCTCACATCTACCATGAATATGGAATGAAATATCACTGCAATTAATTATGCTCTTTAAAGCTAGAACTTTAATTATCAGTGACTCAAACCACTTATCAATATTTTTCAGTGATAATCATGAAAACTTTTAGTAGCTTTATAATAAATATATATTTTGACAAATCTGATACCTTTTTTAAAATATTGCTCAATGATGTACAATAGAAAAAAAGACATAAAAATAGGAGTTTTAAATTTTTATTTTGTATTTAAAAACATTTAAAAAGAAAATTCAGTTACCAGAACAATCATTCAACTACTCAAATGACAAAGTTAGGAAAAATACAAATAACCAATATTTCGCATTTCTTTGAATTGATAAGGCATAGATATTCTTATTGATATAAGTCTTTAAGTTTCTGACAGCATTTTCATTTGTTACATAATGAATGTTTATTTTTATACATGCTTAGAAGTGAATAATATATAACTTCTATTCAATAATATACAACAACTAATAACTACACCATTTCAATAATGTGAAATGTTTTTTTCTAAAACCAGCAAACAAATTTTAAAATAAATTAAAAATTCACAAAATTAAAATAAACACAACACAAAATTAGCAAAATAAAACACTTAAAATATACTTTTGAGTTTTTCTTCTGTAGATAGAAAATCTATTTGTGAGTTTGTAATTTTCATTTTAAAATCATTCAGTATCAGTAAAAAAAATTACTGGAGAAAAAAATTAGTTTATAGTAAGAGGTAAGATAGCGTTATGGAGAATACATAGCAATTGGTCCATTATATGTAAAAAATAGAGAGGAAAACCAACACATAGTTAATCCACCAAGTATGTGAGGACTGAAATATCATTCAAAGAACAGTTGATTTGTACACATAACAGAAGAGCATAATTAGCACTACACAAAAGGTTTGAAAAAAATTAGTTAAAAAAGTTTGTTGCAAAAAGTTGCTACAAATTTATTTTGTATTACTTTCTTGCACCCTTCTTATACATTTATACAACTGCAATTACGAATGTATGATGTATCATAAAAATAAATTGCATCACCAGTGTTTTCATTACAGAAAAAAAGTGGGTGAGAATTTCTCACCCTTTCTCAAAAACTGGGTGAGATTTCAAAAAGTTAGGTGAGATTTCTAAAAATGAAAAAAACACGAATAGACTTGGAAAAGAAATATTTCATTTCTAACATCTTCTAATTTTTAAAGCATTGAATATTTTTGCTGCATTATCACATGGAAAATGTTCTATATCTACTTTTTCATCAGCTATTCTCATTAGGTTGCTCAAATGCTTATCAGTCAATCTGTTAGTATATTTTGTCTTAATTCGGTTTTGGATGCAACAGATGCTGAACTATTCGGAACCACTAAGCAAATTTGTAGCATTGTGCACACACTTTCCTATCCTCTTCACCTGCCAGCATAGGCTTTTCAATTATTTCTGCTATAGAATAGCGAAGTTATTTTCATGTTCTTACTTCATGCTAGTATTTGATCCGTATCCATTGAATAT